AATCCGTTGAAGATATATGTGGGAACTATATCCAAATATGAAGCGGTCTTGATCAAATTTGCCAGAGGCATTTCCATGCTCTATAAGATCTCTGGTACCAAATATCATTGTTGTCAAATGCATATTACGAATGTTAGAGACTTAAGCACCAAATAGGATGAAATATATATATGGGATCTATAGCTTTATCTGAACCAATTTTCTTCACATTCGATGTACTTGCATCTATACTGAACTCGGTCGGATGTAAAAAATTTAGGACTTTTGGACTGATATTGGCAATTTGGTGCATAATTAACCTGAAATCGGTTTAAGATATATGTGGTAACTATATCCAAATTTGGACTGATCTTGATAAAATTTGGTAGCTGTATTTCTGGGCAGTATCTGATATCTGATACCAAACATCATTCTTGTGGGGTGCATATTACGTGTGTGGGAGACTTAAACACCAAATCGGATGAAACATATATATAAGACCCATAGCTATACCTGAACCGATTTTCAACAAAATTTGATGCACTTGCATACCGACTGAATTCTATCGGATGTGCCAAAATTCTGGTCATTAGGACTGATATTAGCAACTTGGTGCATAATAAATCTGACTCGGAAAAAAATTGTAGCTATATCCTAATCGGATACGATATCGGTAAAATTTTACAGAAGTAATTTGAGCTTCATAAATTATCTGGATCAAATTCGCCAACTTTGAGGTCTTTACTTCTAGTCTGAATTCAGTCGAATTTGCCAATCTTCAGGTCATTTTGGTTTATATTGGCCATTTGGTGCACAATTAACCCGAAATCGGTTGAAGATATATATGGAAGCTATAACTAAAAATATATAACTAAAAATAATTCGAGAAAAATATTTACATATTTATTGGCATCTTTTTATATATTTGTGATTTATAAATATTCGCTGTCTATTTCACTCGTAAATATTGTCCGATGACCATCCAAATTGTTAAAATGCGAAGCCCTAAACTCTAGCCCCATGCAAAATTCTATGTCAATTTGTATATTATTATGACCTATAAAGCAGCTTAAATTTTTTTGTGGGCGGACTTTAATAACTAGATTGATTCAGCTCTGCGAGATAGGAAGGTCCGTATATATTCCTAGGACTTGGGCCAATATTTTGAGTTTACATATTTGTGGCCTGATCAATCTTATATAGCCTTACGCATAGTATTGTGGGGTATAATTACAAAAAATTTAATGACTCATGGATTGCAACAAATTAGAACAAATTGCCTAAACTTAAAGGGAAACACTAAGTTTTCACATCCACAAAAGATGCACGGAAACAGTAACTGGCAATATCCTCCATTACCTCCATTATATGAGGCACTTTTCCCGTTTCGTCAGTTTGTGCTGTGCTGTTGTTTGACATTCTAGCTTTATTCGGTTTTGCAAACCATACTTTTATTGAGAGTTTTTTTTTTTTTTTTTTTGTCATAGACTATGAATTAAACATGTCACACACATGACAACCATATCTATATATATAAAAGGAAGTTGTGTTAGTTACTACGCTTATAACTTAAGAACCGCTGAACAGATTTTAACGATTCATACAAATTCGGAATTGTCTCTTTTCCGAAAAGGATAATATCCAAAAAAGCGCGTAAAAATGTGATATATTAACATTTTCATTTTGACTTTTGAAATGTACAATAGTAATGTTTTATTTTGCATGATTTTTTTCAATTTTGACTTATTTTTTTCTAATGTACATTTGTAGTGTTTTTTATATTTTATTTTTGAATTTGAATATTAATACCAATTTAATTGACTTGATTTCTTAAGAACTGAAATTGATGGCGGGTTACATGGAAGTGTAGTACCGAATTATGTGGTGGCGAAACGGAATAGATGATGATGAATAGATGAAATAATTTATCGCGGCCATACCAAAGTTAAAAAATAATTACTTTTTCAAAATCGCTAAAAAATCACAAAAAAGAGATCTCATTGCAAAAATTCTCAAAATGGGGAAAATCGAAAAAAAATTCAATGGAATCGAATTTTAAAATAATAGTACATTCTATTGATAAACTTTGTAAGGATCTTTAAACATTTGCTGTAAAAAATCAGCGAAGAAGTTGAAGATTTTTTCAATTTGTTATTCTTCTTTTTATACCCTGCAACACTATGTGTTGGGGGTATTATAAGTTTGATTGGGCCAAAAATTATGTAACACCACGAAATATTGATTTCCCACATAGGAAAGTATATATGGATCTTCCTAGCTCGCCCAGCTGAGTCGATCTAGCTATGTATGTCCGTCCGTCCGTCTGTCCGTCTGTCCATGTTAATTTGTAATCACGCTACAGGTCGCAATTATGGCCCGATCCTCACGAAATTGAAAATGGAGGTGGGGTTAAGGTCAGAATAGAACCCTATTTCTTTTGGAGATGATCGCATAATATTTAGGGGCAGAAATGGACCAAATACTGAAAAAATGTCGGATTTTGCAGTAGCTATACAGGTCGCAATTATAGACCAATCGACGCGGAATTTCGCATGTAGCTAGAGTTTAGGGCGGGGAAGAAGCCTACTAATTTGGGTGGTTGGTGGCTGAACTGATTTCAACAGTTCTCATTAATTCAGAATGGCCTCTTGGCAGGAAAGAAAAAACGTCTAAAAAAATCGCATAAAAATATCTCTCTAAAGATGAAAATATTGATTTATAAAAATTTTCTCATATTTTTTCAATTTTGTCATATTTTTGGCATATTTTCATTTTGAATTAAACATTTGGTAATATTTCTACAGCTAACAAAACTAAGTAGTTAGGATATCAGGATATCATATACAGATCGCATTTATGGCCCGATCCTTACGAAATTTTGCATGGGTATAATATGAGGGTCATAATAGAAGCCTACTCTTTTTGGAGATGATCGCCATATATTTAGGGGTTGAAATGGACCAAAAAAACTACAAAATTGTCGGCAGGTCGTAATTGAAAGGGGGTTACCGGACATTGCAAAAGCCAAGCAGTTTGGATGGCCATCCAAAAATATTCAATGTGTGAAATAGTTTGCCACCTTTTGTAGACAAAATACGAAAATGTCTATTCCAGAGACTTTTTGGAGAATTCACAAATACAGGAAAGACGCACTTCTGACTATTTCGTTAACGCTGATTTCGTGGAAGAATATAGTCAAATGACTGTATCTCATATAGATTCGTTTCAGTAAAAACCCAATAATAAATGTTAATCGTTTACCACTTCTGAGAGATTATAGGTCTTTGAGAAATATTGGTTCCAGATCTAGGAAGTGCAACATCTACCAATAAATTGGAAATGAGCAAATTAGTTTAAGTTGCTATTATTCGAAAATTAAAGAAAGAAAGCTGATGGTTTTCTTTTATTATTTGTCACAATATCTTGTGGAATTCTTTCGAGTATCTCGCCTTTATAAACTGTATCATTTATTATAGTGTTGTAGGGTATTCAACGGTCGGCCCCGCTCGACTGTAGCCTTTGCTTACTTGTTTCAATTTGTATTATCATATTGAATTCGGTGAATTTTTTGTGAACAAAATAAAGAATAATTTCTCACTACATACAATTTTTCACAAAAAAAAAAACAAAAAAAAAAAATTAAATAAGTGGGAAATAGGATGTTAACTGACATCTACCTTTCAACTCCAGGGCCTACTTCGTGGTTCAGCTGGAAGATGCGAACACATTAAAATAAAACAAAAATGACAGAAAAAACCTAATGGGGCTCATTGAAAAGCGTGGAACTACTTCTTTCATGTGACAATAATCCTTCAATGAGAGCTCAAAATGCAAAATTCTTTGGGAGTACAATCAGTAAAATGCCAAATTTAAAGGGTGCAAATAAGAATAATAAGAAAAGGATTTCTATCCGTCCAGAAATTCTTTCCAAACCTTATTGCCTTAATTGGCATCTTTGTTTCTAAGGGGGTAGAGAACCTCTTCGCATAAAATTTTACATTTTCAGAGTAGGGCCCATTTTGGTCTTGACCACATTCATCAATTGATTTGGCTAAAAATTGTATTTATGCTACCCTGGGGTAGGATAATTGCTACATCGGAATTTATTTAAGTAAAGTCCCCACATTGGAGTATTCCCAAGTCCACTTTCACATCTAATGTGTGGTCAGAAAAGAAAATTTTGTATTCTATTGAATTTGTAACCCCCAAGAGAATATTGGTTGGCCTACATTTTGGTATAACCCTCATATGAATGTTTCCCTGATTTCAGCTATGACCTTGGTCTTTTTCAACTGATTTGGCCTTTATTTGGCATCTTGACTTTTCTATTTCGAGGGTCTTGACCACATTTTCCAATCGATTTTGCTATATTTAGGCTACTTTGTGAGTAGAGAACCATCTTACAGAAAAATGTCAATATAGGTAAACATTTTGGTACAGTCCCCATATAGTTCCCAGGGCCGCCGATCTATAGTGATTTTTACCGATTGGCGGACAACAACATGGGCATTGTTGATTCGTCATTGAATTTTACTATGAACAAGAACATAGACTTCTTAGGGACTCTAAAGCGCAATCTGAGGTGCTATGGTAATGGGTGTAAAAACGTAATTAACTTTGACTATTCAGAAATTATTTTGCCCTCTTTAAATAGGTATTTATTTCTATTTAGTCGGATCAATATTTATGTTAACATTTGTTCACCTTTATGAGCCAGATTTGCGAAATATTATGCTATACAAAAGTTGCATTGAAGACTAAAACTACGGGCCGGCAACGCGGACCGGGCCAGCTAGTTATTTATATACATAACCAATTACGTAAATACATATATGTATGTGAGCTGTTAAAGATTAAAAATTAATTTTGTTTTTAATTAAAAAAATATGGTGTACCCTAAAAAGATGTGTGTTTTTTCGCATAACCAACATTCAATTACAGTCAATGTTTGTTTTTGAAAAAATAACGTTTTTAAATATTAACAGATTATTTTTCGTTTTTAGGGTTGCTTGCTGGCTTACCTGATCAACTGAACCGTAATGGTGTCGTGAAAATACTCCGCGACGTGATATCAATTCCGTGGCCGATGAACTGAAATTACAAAAGTAAATAAAAGAATATTGTGAGAAAAAAGTTTTGTTATTATGCGGGAGGGTAAATTTTTCAAACAGAAACAACAAATAAGAAACAGCAAAACTTTGAAATTTGTTTTGTTTGCGTACATCCACGCGTATACGAGATGTTAATATTCAATCTGCGGGTTTCCGCAACGTATACGCAGCAATGTGCTATGATGTAATTTGAAATGTTGCATACGAAGTAAATATCAATGTAGCTATAATATGTGCATATCATATTCTGTTTAAGATTGTATTTCTGAAACTTTGTGACCGCGATTGGGTTTGTTTTAAGAAGGAAGTTGGTATATTCAGAAATGTCGGCAGAAAATTGTACGAGGAGTTTTGAATGAATATTTTTAAAACCAACATCACAACATAGAGAGTTTAAAATAAGTTAGTGGTAGTGTAAAGACGATATCACAATATGTGGTCCACTTAGATAGAATGAAGGTCAAAAATTCTATATAGACGGACTGAAGGATAGGGGGTCTATATAAAGAATCTGCAGGCCAGTGACCTGCACAGATGTGCAAGAGGTCAGTTACTCTACTTAGACAAACTAAGCTCCAGGTATGTTCTATAGAGCAGAAATGGTCCGTTTGGAATTTTTTCAGATTTTTCGATTGTCCAAACATAAGACCATTGTCCTTTTTATAAAAATCTACATTTATTGCTTATCGTTCTACTTTTACTCGCTACAATCAAACCGAAGGCTGCAAATTATGAAATGTATGGAACGAGTTCTCAGATGATAAACATTCGGGCATTAACAATTATAATACGGTTAACAAATTTTCAATCCTAGTATTCTGATAGTCCTAAATTCACTCTCCACATATGACAGCCAGGTGGATTCAAACCACTACCCGAGGGCCAGGAAGTCTTTACAGACATGTTGAAGGCCAGAGAATAACATCCATACAGGTGAGCTAACATCCATAGAGTTCACATAGGCGGGTTGAAGCCCATAGAGGTTAAAGCCTTGAGAGGCTATATTGAAGGATAGACAGTCCATAAAGACGGATTGTGGAAAAAAGTTTTCAATGACAGTCCAGAAAGACATACCAGAAAGAATATATATTTTAATATTTTTAACTATGCCCTCGGCCATATGGCTACCGAGTGTATATATCATTTGATACGGCCAAAACGTGCCACATCGAAATAAAGGTTTTGACCCTAGGTCTCTTTGGACCAAATCCGTTTCAGGACATTTGGAGTCGATCTAGCGATATTCGTCCGTCTATCCGTCCCTCTGGCTGGTGCCCTCGATAACTCTCGAAGGCAGTATCCAATTTCATCCAAACTTGGTACATCGTAAAACTATGGTCAAACTTAGATCGAGTACGGAGATAAGCAATATCGGTCCACTCCTTCTGGTGCCTCCCCCGCAAAATGTCAACATTTTCAAAGAGAATAATTTATTGCACAAAAATGTAAAGGATAATCCGGTTTTGCTCCAACTTTGCAAATCCTACAATTTGTATTATTGCTTCGAAAATGGAAAATATCGGTCTACTCTACCAAGTACCGCCCCCACAAAGGGTCGACTTTTGGATTAATAACTCGTATAAGTCCGATTATCTTTAAATTACACATATCGTGATATTTTTATTAACTCAAGGTATGGTGTGAAGATGGAACATACCGGTCCACTCCTTCAGGTACCTCCCCCACACAGGTTAAAAAATTTTTAATATCCATGAAGCTCATAAAACGATAAATTAACATCCGAATCCATTTAGACTTTGTACATCTCAATATTTCTATCAACACAAGATATGTTATAACGATGGAAGGGATCGGAACATTCCTTCTGGTACCTCCCACACAAAGAGTCAAATTTTTAAATAACCAAAACTCTTATTAAATGCGAAATCATATTTCACACATCCCATTATTTCTACTAACACCAAATCTGATGTGAAGATGGGATATAATTGCCCACGCCTCCTGGTACAACCCCCAGATAAGTCCACAATTTTGAATATCCATGAAGACCATAAAATGCGAAATTAACATTTGATGTCAATCAGACTTGGTACATCCCAATACTTTTATGAACACAAAATCTGTTATGAAGATGGTAGAGATCGAACCATATCTTCTGGTAACTCCCCCATTAGAGTACAAGATTTTGAAAAACAAAATGCTAAAAGAAATGGGTATAAGCATCCAATTCTCTCCAGATTTTTCACATGCAAATGTCTCGAATAGTAATAAAACTATGAAAATTTAAAATGCCCGATTCTTTTTCAAACTTCAAAGATCCTAATATTTATGAGAATGTTACATTTAGTGTGACTAAATCCAAGATTTGCATATCACAATATAAGCGACATTATATCATAACTTGTATATATATTTGCCCGTAAGCCGATTGGTACTTCCTAACTCGGTCATTGGGCTTTCTTCTTTTCCCAAGCATTTCTGCCACGCCAAAAGCTACTTTTTTCTAACCTCTAAATAGCATTTTGCTAGCTCAGCATTTGTAATATTCATAAATGATTTTTCAAAATTGCTGCATCAGCAATTATACTGTTCACTTCTAACTCCATCAATCAATAGTTGAATGCATTTAGATATTTGTTACAACAATTAATTACATTTGTATACAATTTATTGCCGCGAATTTCTGTCTCGTGTGAAACATAATTGGATATTTGCCAAAGCATTTAAACGATTGCATACAAATTGTCATTCATAGTTCGAATGGTAGTTAAGTTGGTTGGGTGGGTGGTTGCTTTGCCGATGATGATGATGACCAATAATGGCAGTTATTGTCTACAAGTGGTCATAATGCAAACACTGATGCCATTAACAACATGGCACATGACATTAAAAGTGTGAGTGTGTGTGTGCGAGTTCGAGATACGTCTGTGTATGTATGCAACTGGACACCATCATCATGTTTGTGTATTCAGTGTGAAATGCATGCATGAATTCATGAGGGTAATTCAAAATGCATATATATTTCACTGAATCCTATGCATACTGATACCGCGCGCTAGCTGCAATTCCAGAGATATGAACATCCATTGTCCACGGTCATAACCAGCCAGTTCACCGATCACAGATGGTTTTGGTTGTTATTAATGTATGAGGCCATTACAATGTTATTTATGAATTTTGTGCGCTAGTGTTTTCCAATGAATGGATATACTTTCGTTTTCAAAATATTCGCGAAGGGCATACAAGGATTGTCATTGAGTTTAACACAATCCACGTTAGGCAGTTCAGCATCCTTGAGAAGATTTTTGTTTTTCGTTTTCGTTTTTGTGTTTTTTATTGACTTACTTGCAGGTTGCTTTACAAAAACTTGGCGGGTGATTTATGTGATTGTTTTAGTTCCAATTTTATTTGATAGCTTGAACAACGTTTTCAAAATTTCACTATTTTACTATGGTTCCAAAAGCAAATTCTTTAGCCAAATGTCAAGTTTTTAATATTTTTGAGAATTTTCAATACATTATGAAAATATAAAAGAATAGCAACAATGATAACATTTTTTTGTTGTAGATATGCATTTATTGTCAAACGTCGAATTGTCAAGCATTGATCTTCTTAGATTCACTTAGTAATAAGTTGTAAATCATGTGATGTATTTTCTGATAATTTAATTTGTTTATATCATTATAAACAAGCGTTTTACATAATTGATAAACTACATAGCTCATTTTTACGCAAAAAAAAAAATTGGAGCAAAATATAAGCTAATATAAATTAAAATCCATCTCCAAGAAGACTTTATATTTCAATTTTTGAAATTTGTTGATTTTTCGGCAAAAAATGTATATAGATTTATAAAAAATGATCACCGTTTAACCAACATAGGTTACTATTTCAGTTAAGACACCACACAACAGGACCACTCTGTTCAATATATTTTGACGGTTGTTGGAAGTTTTCGGAATTAATATATTTTGATCTATATTCAATATAATAATAAATTTTAATTGTCGCTTTATCAAGGCTGCCGAGTAAAGGACAAAGTAGTTTCAAAACTTGTATTAATATATTGCATCTATTTTTATTCCCTCAACCGTTCTATGGAGGGTATATTTAATTTGTCATTCCGTATGTAACTCTTCGAGATATTTGTGAAAGGCCCTACAAATCATCAACGCGAAAATCTAACTCGATTAAGTGATGCCCGTCTATTGTAATCACGCTATCTTCCGAACGAATTGAGGTAGAAGGCTAAAATTTCGAATATATGTATGTGTATAGAGCCCATGTGACGGCACCTCCTGATATTCAGTATTTCGATGCAGGGATTGTTTCAAAATTCGTATTTGAAGATTTTAATGAGTACTACGCCCAACGATATGTAGGGGTACCTCCCACTATTCGGTTTTTTTATGATTTTAGTGACGTTGTAGAAAGGAATTGTTTTATATTTTGTATTTAAAGTTCGTAATAGGTACTAAATTGGGTAGACCTCATATAAAATACTTCTCGATATTCGTTGTTTTTATTATTTTAGCGATATTATTTAATGGAATTGATTCAAATTTCGTATTAGAAAATTTCAATGGGTACCCTCTATAGAACGGTGGAGGATATGAAAATTACATATGCAGGCCCGCGTTTTCGTATGGGCCTCATATAACGATACCTCCAAATATTCGGGTTTTTAAGCGGGTAATTTAAGCGACTTTAAAGATTTTTTTATTGTTTTAAATTTTGTATTTAAAATTCGTAATCGGTACTACAGCCTATTACAAAAAAAAATGACTTATATAATACATAACTGATAATTTTTGCCGTGATAATAACTGGCCCTAACCAACCGACAGGGTCAAATAATTTAGCAATAGCAGAAAGAACTTCCCTTTTTGTATAGCTCAATTTCTTCTCAATAGGCTTGACCTCAAAGTAAAAGGAATCTAACCTAGCATTCCATCTTATACCAAGAGGTTTGGAACTACTCGCTTCTACGAATGACAGTAATTGCGCGTCTACCAAATG